CTACATGATCATTTTTTACTACTTCATATTTCGATTAGACTCTTATGTAAAATACAGAATCAGACGGCAATTGATGAATACGCACAGTCTCTATTAAAACTCTTCGTAGTAAATTTTGGGCTTTATTATGAAAAACAGTATATGGCTCATAATGTTCACGGCCTACTGCATATTTGCGAAGATGTAAAAATGTTTTGGGCCGTTTAGATAATTACAGTGCATTTAAATTTGAAAGCTTATATATATCTTCTATTAAAAAATTGATTAGAAAATCTTCCGCTCCATTACAACAAATAGCAAGACGAACTCATGAACTGTTTAATCATATTGTAGCCATGAATAATGATTCAATCAACATAACCGACTTAAGTTCAGAATTTCAAAATTTACACACATCTGGTCCACTACTGAAAGGTTATCAAATGCTTAATTTTATTATTGAATTTTGAATACAAATTAACTAAAGTCAGAACTGAATTTGTAGAATAATTTAATTATGAATATATCGAAGAATTCAGTTTTGGGCTATTGAATGGTTAAAAATGATCAAAAGATTTTTTAATACTTTAAAGCAAAATTTTCTCTTATAATATTTTGTATTAATAATTCATTTCAAGTCTCTTGCTCAGTTTTAGATATATTTACAAATTATTAAATAAATTGAAATTCAATTAGAAAATAAATTGTATAAATATTCTTAACATTTCTTATTTTTCCATATAACCACAGATGGAGGACCTGAGACTGTCTGTGGGAAATAAGCAAGTTTCAGGTTATCACAACACCTTCACCCCACTTCACACTGGAATATAAAGAAGATTTCTGGGGATATACTGGGATGTAACATTAAGCAGTTGAGAGTATGTATTTAGAGGTTAAAGGGATATTGTAACTAGTTTCAAATCCTGATAACATCCCATACGCTGTCGGTGGGACCTAGATAGGATGTCCTAAGGATATACTGGAATGTGACATTAAACACTAGGGAGGATGAGTTTAGAAGGAAACTGGGTTATTACGGGATGTCCTGAGGATGTAGTAAGTAGGACTTTAAATCCTAATAACATCCCTTACGCTGTCGATGGGACATAGATAGGATGTTTTTAGGATGTAATGGGATGTGTTTAGGAGGTTAGTGGGATATCCCGGGATGTCCTGAGGATGTAGTAAGTAGGAGTTCATATCCTAATAACATCCCGCACGCTGTCAATGGGACTTAGTTAGGATGTCCTGAGGATATCCCGGGATGTGACATTAAGCACTCGGGAGGAGGTGTTTAGGAGGTTCACGGGATATTCCGGGATGTCCTGAGGATGTGCGCATATCCCGCGAGCAACATCCTCGGGATATCCCAAGGATGTTTTTGTGCTATGTGGGATTAGGCATGGAGTCAAACTGGGTTTGGATGACATGAATGGGAAATTTATTCTATGCTGCTTCAGGTCTATGCCCCATTCCATCAACCGTATTAGCTGGAGAGGGGTGGCGGGCCAGTCTCTCAGCAACACATGACCAGAGGGTTTTCCACGGGTGAAAGATCTGGAGACTGTGCATGCCAGGACACCAATCGAATACTCTGTGTACAGAGGAAGATCAGAACATGACGTGCAACATGTGGTCTTGTATTATCTTGTTGGAACATGGCGTTTAGGGGCCTCGAAGATAGGGCACAACCACTGGGCGTAAGATGTCAGAAATGTACCCATATGCGTTGAAATTACTGTCGATCCGAACTAGAGATATGCGTGTTGTGTATCCAATGGCTTCCCAAACTATCCCACTAGGTGCAGGGCCCCTATGCCGATATCGAATGAAAGCAGGCGATGTGCGGTATCCTCGGACACTCCAGACATATATACGGCCATCAGAATACTGCACGTAGAACCGAGACTCGTTTGAGAAGGCGACATTGTGCTACTCCTGTACCCAGCTTTGTCGTTTGGAGCACCAGAGTCCTCGTCTCTCTTTGTACTGCATTGTCAAGGGAAGCCGAAGTAATGGTCACCCTGCTGATAGTCCATGCTGCTGCAACCGTTGACGCACCTTATGAGCTGATATTGGGCGTGCTGCAAACAGGTACAGGTAGAAGCTAGGCCAGCACCTCCGTAGTACCACAGGTAATTGAGGTATTGCTGAACCTAGCTAACTGTTAAACTTTCCACCCCAATTTTGAGGGAGAACACCCCGGGGGTGGTCCGAGGTTCTCCCGCCCCTCTTTTTTTTACCATCAACCACTTGAGAGGACTTTCTGAGATAAATGAGTTCTGGTATTAATAGTGTACACAAATCATATTGAGAAAAGACTGTCCTTGAAAAGTTCAACAACTGATGCTTCCAAAAGCAGAAATGTAAGAATAAATGTCTTTTCTAAGGCGGAAGGTGTAATAAGCAAGTCTTTGGAGCTCCCGTCCATCAGCATTGCGTAGATAAATGAAACAGTTTGAACATTAAAATGAAATAAAAAAATAATAAATAAAAAATAAAATAAATATGAAAAATAAAAAATTAAAATTAAAAAAAAATAAAATAATAAAAAAAAGGTATGGTATAGTAACATATGGAGATGAATAAGCTTTAGATATGACAAATATCCAGTCCGAGTCTTTGGATATGTATAAGAACGTCTCTGATTTTGGCCCTAAGGTGTCTGTTCTTTATTGCATATTTCTTAAATGGTATTAGATTGTTGTTAGGCTTGATCAGATGTTTGCCGTCTGTTAGATTACAGTCAAAAATGTAATGATCAGGGTCACCCCTTTCGCCACATATGCAGAGATCCGTGGGGCACATGCCTCTGTCATGGAAGTAGTTTAGGAAAGGACCGTGCCCTGTGATATACTGATTCAGAACATGGTCATAGTGTAGGGCCTCTTTGTCAGTTTTTGAGAAAAAATTGTGGACTCTTCTGCCTTGCAATGCAGAATCCCACTCTTCTTGCCACTTTGAGTCGACAATTGCATTCAGTGTAAATTTTAAATGGGACTTGGGCCACGGGACATGAATTACCTCACTGTTGATGTTAGTCGTTGCATCCTTTGCAAGGAGGTCAGCTGCCTCGTTGCCGTCGTTTCCGTTGTGGGCTTTCACCCAATTGAGGATAAACTGGATTTCTGGGTGGGCACTTATAGTATTTTGAATATCCTGAACCAGTTGGTTCTTATTGTTTCTGTCCTTCAGGGCATATAATGCAGATTGACTGTCTGAATAGATAGCTATTGTCCTGAAATTATTTGATATAGCTTTATTTACTGCAGATTGAATTGCTGACAGCTCAGCTTGATAAACGGAATTTTCTGGAGATAATTTTCCTTGCCATATTGTTGGAATAGAGAAAGAAGAATAGATTATTGATGCTGCGCCCACTTCTCCATGAATTTTAGAGCCGTCTGTAAATGCTCTTGGACATTCTTTACTACTGATTGCTGAAGCGTCCGTATTGATAATTAAATTACAATACTTTGCAGGATGGTAGGTCAATGGTATGGCTGGAGACTCATACTTTGAAGCAGAAAAGGTGGTGCCGTTCAGGTAAGCATCTTCTTTCAACTGGAGTACTCTGGCTTTTATTGAATCCTTCGTCGCAATTAAATGAAGGGGAGGAATCTCAATAAGAACACATAGAGAGGAATTAGCTGTCGTTCTATAGGCTTTGCAAATGCTCAGGAGAAAAGGTCTCTGAATGGCGAAAAGTTTCCTTTTCTTCTTCTTCCTTTCTGTCATAGTCTCCGCCCAGATTGCAGCCCCATAATTCACTATACTTGAAATTACTGTTAAAAATAAAATTTTTTGAATATGAGGACGAAGTCCCCAGTTACTACCTTGCATTTTTCTGAAATTATAAGCGATTTGATTTGTCTTTTTCTGAGTCTCCGTGAGATGGTACATAAAATTAAGTTGGTTATCTATGTGGATACCCAGAAACTTCAGGACTTGAGTAATCTTAATTTTCTTTCCGTCCAGGTTGAAGGTGGGCTTTCTTAAGAGCTTTTGGCCTGGCTTGTTAAAAAGTATTGCCTTGGACTTCACTTGCGAAATGCAGAGTTTCAACCTCTGGCATTCTATGTTAAGCTGTTTGAGAGAACCGTTCACATTCCTTTCGAGGATGTCTCTAGTCCTACCACTAACAACCAACGCAGTGTCATCCGCAAACGCGAAGATCTTCGTATGATCGGGAAATTCATATTTTAAGACGTCATTAAAGGTGAGGGCCCAGAAATCAGCACTCAAGCAGGATCCTTGGGGACATCCTCTAGTAAATTTTTTGCTGGTTATCATGTTGTTATGAATGAATATGCTTTCTCTATTATGAAAGTAATGAATGAGAATATTGAGAAGATTAGAGGGACAGTTGGCTTTATTAAGTGCATGTAATACTGAAGGCCACCATATTGAGTCGAAGGCACTTTTTAAATCAACACAAATAAGTGCACTATGTTCACCTTTTGATTTATTATGTTGGATTTGCTTCAGTATTTTATCAATTGCATGAATAGTGCTTGAGTTGGCTTTGAATCCGTATTGGTGTTTACTGATTGTTTGATTTTTGATAAAGTGATATCTCAACCGCCCGGCAATAAGTCTTTCTAGAACTTTTCCTATGGCGGGCAGCAAATTTATTGGCCGAAATGCAGAAGGATCTTCGGGGTTCCTATCCTTCTTCTCGAAAAGTATAATTTGTTGTCCTTTCTTCATGTTATCGGGAAAGGTCGACAATTCTAAGCATTTATTGAAGAAATTAAGAAGGATTCTTGGGTCATGATTGTGCATAATTTTTAGAATTTTTGTTTATAGAGTCGGGGCCCGGGGCTTTCTTATTGTTGAGGTGCTTGATAATATTATTAATTTCTTGTAGAGTGAAGGGGAAGTCTTTTGAGCCATTCTGTGAGAAATTGGAAAGTCTAATCTCTCTCTGCTCGGGTGTGTCATCTTCTGAATTGTCATCCATGAAGATAGCGTCAAGGATTTTGGTTGCTGCTGCTTCTTGCGATAGAATCTGGGAATCAGGAATACTCTTGTTGTTGCTTGCGTGATCTTTGTTGGGAAAGCGTAATTTTTGTGGGAACGAAGAATTTCCTAGTTGCCAATTTATGGAGGATGCCATACGTATCTTTATTTTGAGAACAAAATTTTTTCCACACGAGGTTAATTTTAGCTTCCATAATTTTCTTTTTGTAAATCCTTCTTTGCTCCTCGTTGTATCTTACGCATGCAGCATTCCTAGAATTGTCGTCCAGTGTAGATTTTATTTTCCTCCTTAAGGCTTTAGTTTTGTTCCTCTCTGCCCTCAACTCTTTTGTCCACCAATTTGCAGTGAATTTATTTCTTGGAGCTCTAATTTTAAAGCTCTGTTGGGATATTTTTGGGATTTGTATGACTGAGAAAAAGTTACTGGAGATTTCATTTAATTGGTTGCGATCCCTGCAGTAGTTTATGCCGTTCAAAATGGAAGTTTTTTCTTTAGCAAGGAGGTTTTTAAATTTCTTGATGCCAGATTCAGTTATGTGAAAACGTTTCGTGCTGGTACTAGAAAAAGTGAGATCAATCTCAAAGTGAATGAACTTATGATCCGAATTATTTTCCTCGTCCAGTATCTTCCAGTTTTTAAGAAAGGTGCTGGCATTTGTGCTTGAAAGGGTCAGGTCAGGCCATCCTTTACCTGAGCATGTTTCGAAGGTAGGCCCTTGTACGGTGTCGTTGTGAAGGACGAGAGAGTTGGCAGCTATGAAATCTTCTACTTGTTCGCCTCTAGAATCTGATTTTGGATATCCCCATTGCACGCAGTGGGCATTCATATCCCCACCGATAAAGTGATGTGCAGTCGGAGCACTCTGAATTATATTGTCAAGGTGTATAAGATTTCTTTCAATTTCTTCTGCGGGCGAACAGTAGCAAGAAGAAATGCATAGTTGTACTGTACCTGAATTAATTGAGATAGATATAATGTCTCTATCAATTTTGCATACAGTAGGGTCTAGTTGTTTTGCTCGTTACGACAATGCATGCTCTGGGATTTTGTTTTGGACTGGAAAATCTTTGCTTAAGTTTTTATATAAAATATTCCATGATAATGGAAACCCTCTTATCTCTCCTTTCACGCTGTATGGCTCCTGGATTAGTAAGATATCGTAATCGGATTCTGAGACGAACTGCACAAGTGAAGATGTGGCTTCCTTGCATCTCCTAAGATTACACTGAAGGCAGTTAAGGTTCTTGAGAATCTGTGAAGTTTTGATTAGCATTGAAGGATTTGTGGTAAAATGAGGGCATCCATACAACTTTGCAATATGAAAAATGAGAAAAAGAGAAGAAGTAACTAAGGTAAATCAATAGGCTAAATTGCGTTGATGAATCGAAAATGAAGTATAATTTAGACTATTTGATAATTTGTGATATGCTTTAATTTTTTAGGTTTCTCTTTTGTACAGAGGGCACTTGAGGTGCATATGCTGCATGCTTGTAATTAATGTTTGTGCCATTTGCGTTGTTGTACAATCTGCAGTTTATGCAGTTAGGTATCTCGGCTCTGCAATTCTTTTATTGAGTGATTGCCTCCACAGAATGCACAATATAGATTTAAATTTGCACTTGTACTGAGAATGCGTAAAGTCTTGACATTGGAAGCATCGTTTTGACGCCAAAGAACTCTGCAATAAGGGAGAAAATTTCCAGTTATAAGTAATGCTATTCCTGTGTTCCATGCATGTCTTGGAGGTTGAAGAATTACATTCAAAAATCCATTTTACAGTATTAGGAAGTCTTCCTTTTACCTTGAAAGAGAGCAGGAGATCCCTTCTTTTTCAATGTTGATCTGATCAACAAGTTCTTCTATTATGAGTTCTGGAGGAGTATCTTTAGAAATATTGTTAATAGGATACTTTGGGTCGATCTTGAAATTTGGAGTCTTAATATCAAAGAGGGATTTAGCATCCGCTGTATCGTTTCAGTGCATCTGACACACCATTCTTTAGCTCTTCTTCAGAATTACAACAGATGGCAATTCCTACATTTTTAATCGGAGCAATCTGGTTTATTTTACTTGCTTTAATGTTTTTTAAGGGGATGAGTTCATTGAGTTTATCATTAATGAGACCTATGGTATCATTTTTATGGGTATATCAAGATAGCCGGGATCGCGTTCCTTCGGAGTTTTGGCCACGATTTCGGCAAAGGTTTCTTTTCCATTGCAATAACAGACGATCTGCGTTTGCGATTTCCGTCACTGTAATTCCCTTTTACACGTTGCGATGGGGTGTAGGAGGAGGATGCACCTTGGGTAGGAACTGAGGATTGCGTTCTGTGAGAGGAACAGTCATTTGGATATCCTTTGCGTTTCTCAAGGCAAGTAATTTTAATTCGTCTAAATGTTTTCTAAGCAGTGTAAAGAGGCTTTGGGGAATAAGTCTCCTTCCCCCTCTTCTAGTGCTCGCAATATCAATACAAGTATTGTACAGTTGACTTACTCTTATGTGAAAATCCTCATTTCCTTCAGGGTCTTGCAGGGAAGGGAAAACAGACACGTTGTCTGGAGCAACTGATGTCAAACTGCCTGGGGGATCATAGACTGATGCTGCAGTCTCTTCAAACGCTTGGGGGGAAAAGCGGCTATTCTCTTCTTCCATTTCGCTGCAGCGGAAAGGACACTAAAAGTGACTTGGAAGTGGGGAGGAATAAGGTAGTATTCAGTTACAAGCACACCCGCTGTCCGCCTTTGTGCGAGACGGAGAAGAAGGGAGAATGCCAGGACTTAGAAGAGAAGGGCTAGCTCATAGAGCTTTTCCTCCTGAAGCAGAAAGTGAGAAGTGATGACGTAGCCATGATGACACTGAGCGCGCCAATATAATTCACAGCTTGGAAATTAGCGTTTTTGAACCAGCGTTTGAAATGAGCTGTGCGTGAAAGATAGCTATAATTTGGAAGAGGCAATGTTACTGCTTTATGCAATTTAGACTGAACCATTCAAAAATTAACAATGCTTACTCAATTTTAAAATATTGGATAAAATGCACTACTCTTTTAACATAAAGTTCCGTGTTTTTTTTTTTAATTATTATTTTTTTTTTTATTTGCGGGTTTTTTATTTCAATGCACGTTTATTTCTAATCATTTCTTTATCTTGCATGCTAACTGAGAGAATTTTTATACTGCTTCTAAGATAATATAATAGCAGCTATTTAAATTTACTCAAAAACGAACTATTACATTGACATAGGTTTTAAACATATATGACATATATGGCAACAATTTCTGCTAATCTACGTTTGATTTTTTACCTAATTGTATATTTTACATTAGTTATAATTTCTCTTCCGATTCAATATAATAAATAGATATTTTAAAAATAATTTTGTAATTTATACTTATATCTATATTATAATTAAATAAATGTATACAAGGACTGTTACCTTAATTTTGACGAAAATAGCTTTATTCAGAGTACCTAAATCAGTTATTTAAATTTTTCAAAAGTGTGCAGTAAAGGAAGGCAGGTCTTTTTATGCCAATTACTTTGATGTTTTACACTATTATATTTTATCTAGAATGCTAATCTAGCACAAAATCTAATCAATAATTAGTTACAAAGGATACAATAAGAATAACAAGTACTTAACAAAATTAGTTTGTTAAATACTTGTTATTATTGTTGGTATTATTTTGGTACTATTCATAATACCCGAAGATATTATAGATTAACTCATAGAAGTCAGATGCTTTTTGATTTTCTGTGGGGTATAGTATACCTTTTGCGATACTTTTGAAATAATGCTTTCTCTGGGAGCGACTTTTTGTCTCTCACTTCCCTTGACCCATTAAATAATTTGGTTTTAGTTGTGACACAATTTTATTTCTTCTCAATCTCTATTTAAAACCTCTTTAATAATATCAAAATTTAAAACAGTTACATCTTCTAAAACAAATCCTCTATCTAAAACGCGGTTTTTCAGTAAGTAATTGAGGCAGCAGAGCGCGAAATGAGACATCTGATTAAAACAAACTGCACATTTTGAAAAGAACCAACTTAGTCCAGTTTAGAGTCATAGCAGAGTTTTCAATCTATGTGCATTTCGTCGAAACTGAGAACGCATATTTTTTCTACAGAATACAAATATTCGCCTCTTTCCTTCTTTAGAGTAAGAACATTACTTTGAATTCTTGGACCACACTAAAATTTAAAAAACACTAAAAAATAAAATAAACACCATTTCTTTAATTTGATAATACTAGGTAAAGATATTCCAAATTTTTTCTTAATTTTTTTTCTTTCCAAAAATCATATCTTTAAGATGACAGAGCTCTTATGACGATGCAACGTGAAATATTTTTATTAGTCCACCTGATTTTTTCTTCTTTTTCAGTAATGCATTAATCTGCGTCTTTATAAAAATTGGCTTTAGACATTTTTCCAAATTCTCCGATTTGTGCTCAACCCCCAAATTTCGCTATTTGAGATTTTAATTTCTGATACTAATTTCTGTCTAGATGCCGTCCACCTTCTTTGTCGCTGAACAAACATTCTAATATTTTTTCTTTTCTCTATTTTTCAATACTTAATACAATTTAATACAATTTTCTAAGGATATATTTTGTTTCAAATTATCAATGCATCCTTGGTTTATCCTTAAACATTCAGGATGATCTACATTTTGATTTGGGAGTTTTATTTCAAAATCATTAAAATTTGATTTATTATTGTCATCATCAATTTCGATTTATTATTGTCATCATAATTTATTTTCGGCAAGCATTCCATTTCAACAGTTTCTTTTTGTGGCTATCCAAACAAGCGATTTTTCATATCTTCATAAACACTGCATAGAAAATGTTCGCTGCAGATTTTTCCGCTCTTCACATTAATAGAATCTTCTCTTTGACATTTGTGTATCCATTCTTTCGTCAAAAGCAAACTCTCATTTGGATCCTTTGGTCCCATGAAATAAAATATCTCATCCTTTCATACTTCTGTAAGTGCTACGGCACGTTACTGCAGCGCAAAAAGCCATATTACGTAAACGATACTTTACAATATAGAATTTAAAATAAAAACTGACTAAAATTACATATATAAATTATTTTAAATATATACATTATTAGAAAACAGATAATATATATATTATTAAAATTAATTATGATATGTAACCTCTAGAAAATCGTATCGCAGCTCAATGAAACTACTGTTTTAAACGCGGGAAAACGCGGGAAATCAGGACAGGTGGCATCACAGTGACGTCAGATTATTGCCTCTTACGTCCCAGGGATAAATAGAAGGGCTAGGTCATTCCTTTGTTCGACTCCTCGCCGACGCGAGTCTCATAGAGGGGGGGGGAACTGGGAGTAATCTGACGTATCTCTGTTGCACCTGCTCTGATTTCGCGCCTTTAAAACTGTAGTTTCATTCAGTTGCGAGACGATTTTTTGGAGATCGCATATCCCAAATTCATTTTAATCATACATATTTGTTTTCTAATAATGCAAATATTTAAAATAATTTGTGTATGTATAGTTTTAGTCAGTTTTCCTTTTAAATTCTATATTTAAAGTATCCTTTATGTAATATGGCTTCTTGTGCTGTAGCAACGTGCCGTAACACTTATAGAAATACGAAAGGAAGAGATATTGTATTTCATGCTTTCCCCAAGGACCAATTTGCTTTTGACGAAAGAATGGATACATAAATTTCGAAGACAGGATTCTATTAATGTGAAAAAAGCAAGAATTTGCAGCGAACATTTTCTGTGCAGTGATTATGAAGATAACATGAGAATCGCTTGCTTGGATTGCCGCAAAAGAAACTGTT